GATGTTGTGTAGCATCGTAGAGATAGTAGCTAAAAATCAGAGCAATGGCAACTTAGTTAAGAATAAAATCTGTACAATACTCAGTGCATAAAGAACAGAGCAGAACAATGACAACTTGGTTGGAGAACTTCATCTCACGCAACAACACTTCATTTGTCAAGACTAACAACATCCAGCTTTTGCTTTATCTCGCATAATCAGCACTTCACTGGTCAAGACTAACAACATTCAATTTTTCTCTTAATTCATTAAATTGAGCAAATGAAAGAGCTTTGGTGAGAAGATCGGCTATTTGAAGCTTGGATAGGACATATTGAATTACTACCTTTTTAGATAGAACTTGATCTCTAATATAATGAGCATCGATTTCTATGTGTTTTGTTCGGGCATGGAACACGGGATTGGAGGCTAATGCTACTACACTAATGTTATCACACCATATAACAGGGATGGTATGAAAAGTTAGGTCAAGTTCAGAAAACATGCTCTGCAGCCACACAACTTTAGTGGCAGTGTTAACCAATGATCTATACTCTGCCTCCGGGGAAAAACGTGTAACAACCTTCTGTTTTCGAGAGCTCCACTATATTAAATTTGGTCCTAAATAGACACAGTAACCACTAGTGGACCGCCTGTCTTCTAGACTGCTTCCCGAATCAGCATTTGAGTAACATTCTACATTTAAAGAGCATGCTGGTTTGAATTTTGAACCATAGTGAATGGTACCTTTTATGTATCTAAGCACCCTTTTACAAGCTTTCCATTGGAGCTCTGTTGGATCTTGGAGAAATTGACTTAGCCGATTGATAGTGAAACTGATATCAGGCCTGGTAAGAGTCAGGTATTGCAATGCACTTATAGTGTTCCTGTAAAAACCTGGATTCAAAAATAGCTCACTGTCAGTAGAATATAACTTTGTACTGATAGCCATAGAAGTGGCACAAACATTTGCTTCCAACATTCGCTACAAGAAAAACTACATTCTGCAACCAATTTTTTAGCAACTAACCAGAATTAGTTGCAAAAAGGCTATATTTACCAACTAAATTGTAATTAGTCGGGCAAAGAGCAACTCAATTTTGAGGTCCACATGTTCCAACTTTTGGCGTCTAAAGTTAATGTTCTGCGACTATTTTGTTAGTTGCAGAACAAACTGCTTTAGTGACTAATAAATTTAGTTGCAATTTTTGGTGGGCNCTGGAAACTATATAGATAGGGCTTTAATTTGATATATTATATACTAAATTTGGATAACTGTAGACCCATAGCTGAACCATTCATTTTATCATCACACACATTTCGGTTTCCCCCATTTCTTAGTTTCTATTGAACAGTCAGTAGTAAATTGCTCATAATTTGCCCAATAAAAATCCAATTTATAAACGGTTTGAATCTTTAAAAACTAGACAAATAGGGCTTTAATTTGATATATTATACACTGAATTTGGATAACTGTAGGCATATTTCCAAACCATTCATTTTATCATCGCATACATTTCGGTTTCCCCAGTTTCTCAGTTTCCACTAAATAGTCAGTAGTAAATCTGCTATAACTTGCTCAATAAAAATCCAATCGAGGAGAGGTTTGAATATTTGGAAACTAGATAGATAGAGATTTAATTTGATATATTATATACTGAATTTCGAAAATTGTAGATCCCCTGTCAAACCATTCATTTAATCATCACATATATTTTGGTTTCCTTTGTTTCTCAATTCCCATTGAACAGTTAGTAGTAAATGAGTCATACCTTGTTTAATAAAAATCCAATTGATGAGATGTTTGAATATTTAAAAACCAGATAGACAGAACTTTAATTTCATATATTATATGGTGAATTTGGATAACTGTAGACCCACTGCTGAACTATACATTTTATCATCACACATATTTTGGTTTTCCTATTTCTCGGTTTTTACTGAACAATCAGTAATAAATGGGTCATAACTTACTTAATAAAAATCTAATTGATAAGTGGTTTGAATCCTTAGAAACTAGACAAATAGGGTTTTAACTTGATATATTGTACAAATAGGGTTTTAACTTGATATATTGTACGATGAATTTGGATAGCTGTAAACCCTTGCAATTGTGGTCTAACTACACCTAAAAGAAATAACAAGTTATTTAAAACAATGTATGAAATGGTCTCCTCTCTATATTCGCATAAATTAAAACGCTTCGAGTCTCCAGAACTTCATTTCTTCTTTGTTCGCAAGCACCGGAGGAGCCTTTGCCCCATTTCAAGAAGAACCAGACATGGGTTAACGGGTTTTTTCTTATGGTTTTTATTCGTATTGAAAATTTTTGAAACTCTTCTTCTTCTTCTTCTAAGCATAGACAGAGCCTGCCCTTTCAGTTGAAAATGTTTGAGGCTGTTAAATCCAGTTCACCCAGAAAGGCCCGTCGAACACTTCTCCNATGTATTTGAAGGGTACAAGTCTATCCGTGGATATGGACCGTTTTGCCAGGTCTACTCCTACATAACCCTATCCCATCTGATTCGAGTGATCCGAGGGACTCAGGGTTCCAAAAGGAGGGTGAGTATTTAGAAATATTTCGTAAGATTCCAATTTTTGAAAACATAATTAATATAGAGATCAATATGAACCACATAGAAATCCGAATCCTGAAATATAACCAAATGAGTTCTAAAAGCAAAAATACATAAAATTAAAGTTCTAAAACAGGGTTTCGAAAAAATCTGGTTATAGAAACATAATATCGGTGTGCGCTAAAGTTTGTAAAACATGTTGATGATCATGTGTCAATGCCAACCTAGAGCGTAGAGTATGCTCCGCACGAACCCGATCTACAATCCTGACGGGGGAGGATATGAAACAGTGAGCTAGGAAGCCCAGTGAATGGATAATGCATTTTATATTAAAAGTCACACAACACCAATCCATCACACGATACAACATTAATCACCATATAATATTTCCAGATGCCATGGGATCACATACCCAAATAATATAAAACAAATCAATCATCACCACTATACTAGTAACCAAGGACTTAAGTCAAAACTCTCACGAGTCTGTTCCAACATAGACATGTAGTTACACCACCCACAGTCTACCTTTGGGGTGGTACCATCCATAGTTTACCCTCAGGGTAGTACCATCCACAATCTATCCTTAGGATGGTATAACCATCACTAGATAACTATAATCGACCCACATTCTACCCTTGGGGTGTCATGATATGGTATCAAATAGAATCTCATCCACGGTCTACCCTCAAGGCGTCAAAATCCCACATCAGCCAATACTTGCTTGGTGTAATCCCGCCTTGAGCTCATTAAGTGTCTATCCTATCTCGATAGGATATCGTAATCGTTCGATAGGATGAACCATCTCAATGCGCGCGTGAAGCTAAATATAATCAACTAGCTGATGACTGGAGGGGACGAATACTATAAAGGTGGTCTCAATCTGAAGGATAAAATGCATCCACACACATCGCATCCAAATATCGAAACACATAATGAATTATGTAGGCCTTCGTGCAGATAGGCATAAGTAATAATATCATATAATACTTGTTTTCGCTCAAACGGACATGCAAAGTATGAGTGCAATGCTTGAAACATCATCATAAATCGTCATGTAAAATATCCGTTTACCACTTATATTTTTCATTCTCGGTTTGTCAACCCCCTAAACTTCGAATTTTGCGGCAAACCCCCTATACTTTTAAATCCTTCCAACTCCCTAAACATTTTAAACCTTACGACAACCCCCAAAATTTTAACTTCTAAACATGACAGTTACACCCCTTATCCCAGAATGCATCAGTGAACTCCAACAATAAATTTCCAGCAAGAACATTCCGAAGCATATAACCTTCAAATACCCACATGCATGCCTATATTTCATTCCAAAACACACCTAATATCTTGATAACCCAGGAAACTCATATACCCCACAAGCAGCCAGCATACACCACAAACTTAAATATATTAACAAATATAGCTTAGATCCACTCATATGAAAACTGGAGATGCATGGGTTGTGAATGGGTTTACTATTCCACTTACCTCTCAGCTCAGTCGAAGCTCCCTTCACTCTTCTCTTCTGATCCTAGCATCAAGAACAACAATAGTTAGTTTTTCTCTTGGATTGATTAAGAAATGATAGATCTACCTCCCAAGCTGCATGCATGAATTACCAGAACTTGGATTACAACCGGTTTGCTCTTCTTTTCTCCTCCCACTCTATTTCATTTCATCTCCTCCATTTCTCTCTCACTCTACCATTTTCGGCCGAACCCATTCTCCTCTTTCTTCTCTTCTTCTTCTTTCTTTCTATCCTCTCTTCTATCTTCTCTCTCTTTTCTTTCTTTCTTTCCCCTTTCCTTTCTTTCTTCTCTTCTTTATCTCCTCTTTTCTTCTTCTCCCTTTGTCTTCTTCCTCTCTTCTTCTCGGCTTTTTATTCCTTCTTCATTTGGGTGACAGCCCCTTTTTTTTTATATGATATATCTTCTTAAAATTATACAACTGTCCCATATTTCTTTTATTTCTTGATACACCCCGCCACATCAGCTTTTATTGCAAAAATATCCCATATTTTCTTTTAAGTGACATGGAAAGTCGACATCTCTTTTTCTTTTCATTTTTACCCCCAACAAAATTTCAAACAATTGCATTACATTCCCTCTCCCGCCGCCGAAAACACCAATTTAATTAACAAAATTTCCAGAAAATAAATAAACAAAAAGGTGGTCATTACAGGACCCAATAGGAAGAAGTTTATCTCTAATGTGTAAACATGAACAACATATTTAATTATTACGTAAATAATAATAAATGCCCTCTCTCATTTGCCTTCAACCACAAATAGAACATAGGACATAAAGCTCTTGGAACCTCTGCGATAAGAGAAGTGGCTTTTTGTTGTAAAGATGGACTATCATATTATTGTTTCTAAACTCAATATGCTTTACATCGAAAGATGAATAAACTAATATTCAAAAGATATATAAGTGTACAATAGCAAAATATAAAGAAAAGTCTCATAATTTTACAAGAATGAAAACTTCGTAAATCCTTTATTATGTGAAATGAAATGGTACACGTCTATTGAGAAAGTGATAGCATCAATAAACTATCTAGTAAAGGATTAACTATTCTCAAAGGAAGGAGTTAAATCACCATGAACAAAATTAGTCTCTTCAATATTGATATGGTGCATTCTTGAAGCGCATCTTGAAGCTCTGATCCCACCCAATTCGATTGCTACCTCTCGCATTGTAGGCCTATTTTTCCCATTTAAGTCCAAACATTTTCTTGTAAGATTGGCAATTGTTGCGATCTCTTCTTTTTTACCTTCTTTCATAACTCGAGCATCAAGAATTTCAAATAGACGATTCTCTTTCATGGCACGTAGAAAATATGCAGAAAGACTTCTATCTTCCTCAATATCAGTTGAACGAATTGGCTTTTGTCCAGTTAAAAGTTCGGCAAGAACTACTCCAAAACTATAAACATCACTTTTCTCAGTAAACTGACTTGACCAGAAATATTCTGGATCAAGATACCCAAAGGTTCCTTTTACTTGAGTGGTCAAATGAGTTTGATCAACTGCAATAGATCTTGAAGTTCCAAAATCCGACAATTTTACTTGAAATTTTTCATCCAAAAGTATGTTTGTGGACTTAATATCTCGATGATATATAGGTATAGAAGCAGTTGAATGCAAATAGGTTAACACACTTGAAACTTCAAAAGCAACCCGTAATCGTAGTTCCCATGTGAATGGAAACTCCTCATTTTGGTCATGTAAATGTTGAAAGAGATTTCCATTAGAAACGAACTCATAGACTAAAAGAGGCACTTCTGTCTCCAAGCAACACCCTACTAGTTGAACTATATTTCTGTGACTAATCTGTGATAGTAATATAACCTCATTAATGAATTCTTCAATTTTACTTTCATCCACTATCTTGGACTTCTTAATAGCTATAATTCTTCCTTCTGACATCCCTTTATACACAGTGCCTTGACCACCTTCACCAAGAACTCGATTGGCATGATAATTGTTTGTGGCTTTTTCCAATTCCTTCGAGGTAAACAATTTTGTTTTCTCAACGTTCCCACCATTTCTTGTAAATAACTTCTGCTTCAGTTTGATTGCTTTCCGTTTTTGTATGAACTTGTACAACCACCATGTTACAATGATAAGTAAGACCATTCCAAGCCCAGCACTGAAACCTGCACAATTCAAGGAATAGAATACATCATAAATATTCGCGATTGCGTCAATGGTAATAAGGAAATGTAAAGTATATTGAAACAGAAGGACAAGGATACCTATGCCAAATATATATTTGACTGGAGTTTTTTTAATAAATATATCATCAGAACTTCGTGAAGGAATGCACCATGTTTCTCCATCTTCACTTTGATAAGGTTCATAATCATAAGGACATTCGGGGCGATAGCTATCGTTCTTCGAAACACAAAGCAAGCGGCCTACACAATGTTGAAAAAAAATAAGTTACAAGTAAATGACTATGACAATAAACATAATTAATAGAGAGTACCTGTACCTTTACATCCTATATAGCTGTCAGATTTTTTATTGTCGCAAAGACAAGAACAGTCTGAGTTTAGTTTTATGACGCAGTAATCATCTTTGTTGCATTTTGTTGTGTTTGACTTATATAGGTCCACACAATAACCTCCATATTTTCCCCATTCCAGAATAGCTGGAACGACTTCTTTATCTTTCAAAACATAAGGATTTTTTAGGTAGTTTGACTCAAGCCAAGCTTTATGAACTACGAAGGCAGAACTGCATTCCCTGGGAAAACTTTCAGAATAAATTTCTGATATGTTTAAATTGTCAACCTTACGGTTTCGAGTAAGGTTGCATAGGAAATCACCGCAGCCATCATTTTGCGTAGGATCCCAAGTACAAAAAGAGTGGCAGCGACTCAGGATTGAATCTTTCTGACTGAGATTGAGGTAGTTTTCGCAACCAATGGCAGTGAATACATTGTCTGTATTCGAAAAGGAAAACGGGCTTGCAGACAGGTTGATGCTTGAATTGCGGGGGAAGTTGACGATAAGAGAAGAATAAGGATGGCCAGTTTCGTTTAATTCTAGATGGACGCTGTTTAGGAAAGCTCTTGGAGAGCCAGAAGAGCTGTCGCAAGTTACTTCAAACCACTTATCCAAGTAGCAGCCTTCACCGATTCCGAAAGGGTATGATAGTTTGACATTGCCACAGCTATTTGGACATAAATTTTGTGATGCTTTGATTTGCCAGAGTAAGAGAATGATGTGAAACATTAACACCAGACGATGAGGATGGACAGCCATTATTGATTCTCTTTAATTTCTTAATGGAAGATTAATGGAGATTGAACACATATTTATAAAGTCCCTGCTGTAAAACAATTGGCCATAAGTGCGCAGTGCGCTACCGCCAGACTTTTAAGTTTCTTGTAAGACTTTTGTTTTCTTTCTCTAAGATCAATTTCTCTTTGGGAAAATTAATGGTAAAATGTTTACAGATAAAATTTTCTTTGGGAAAATAAATAGTAAAATGTCAAGAGATAGCGTTCTCTTTGGGAACATTGTAAATTGTTCATTGGTCACATGGGTTCAACACTTGAGTGAATGTGAGCTCTCTAATTTCTATATGTAAAATCATGCACTAATCAAACAAAGAAATTTTTTTAGAAATGATTTAATGCATATATCAAATATCTAGATTAATAATATGTAAAATAAATCATAAATTGTGAGAGAATGAAATAATTTAACGTGAATCATTAAGTTACGAAAGATGTTAATAAAATATGATAAGCATGAAACACGTTTTCCTAACTTGGTTAGTATTTAAGAGGTCGGTGCAGACAATGGTCAACCAGAGATGCTCATCTCCCTTGTAAATAAAATATGGGTCAAATGGACTCCCTGAGATATGATATAATAACCAACTACCCCTTAAAGTTTATGAAAAACAGAAAAAGTCACCCAGCAAGCATTAAATGAACTGTTAGTAAACTGAAGTTTATACGGTTCTAAATTAGTAAATACTATCAAATTAGCCTCTTATCATTTATTTTAATACCTAAAATTTAACAACAATGGAATTTTTGTTACTTCAAAAACCCTAAGGGGATTTTGTTAAGTACATGATATCTTAGGGGTATTAAATTAACCCACATTAAGTGGCAACCAAGATTACATTTAACGTGAGTCATTAAGTTACTAAAGATGTTAATAAAATATGATAAGTATGAAAAACGTTTTGCTAACTTGGTTAGTATATAAGATGTTGGTGCGCACAATAGTCAACCAGAGATGCTCATCTCTCTTGTAAAATAAAATATGGGTCAAATGGACTCACTGAGATATGATATAATAACCAATCACCCCTTAATGTTTATGAAAGAACAGGAAAACTCACCTACCGTTAAATGAATTGTTAGTAAACTGAAATTATACGGTTCTAAATTAGCAAATACTATCAAATTAGCCTCTTATCGTTTATTTTAATACCTAAAATTTGTCAACAATGGAATTTTTGTTACTTCAAAAACGCTAAGGGGATTTTGTTAGTACATCATATCTTAGGGGGATTAAATTAACCCACATTAAGTGGCAATGTGGCAGACCAAGATTACTTTTCTCTTATTTAATTCCTAGCTTGTGCTGTATTCGTTGCATGCAATAATAAAGTATTATCATTTGCCTAACTTTTAAATTCTGTCTAATTTCGTTCCCCGACCCTCAACTTTCTTTGGGAAAGTTAGCAAGACTCAATCCACAAAGCCATGTATTTGATCAGTAAGAAGAATTAATAGTTGCAAAAGTCTTTGGCGTTGGTAGTGCAAACGCCGAAGAAATTGTTTTAAAGTTGATAATACAGTCTAGTAAAACCTACGAGAGATGAATAATATATTGATAATTGGTTTAAACTTTCTAATGTGTGAATTGGTCGTGTTAATGACCATTGGACTAAATATAATGTTGAGCTCGTGCCTCTAAATTAGTTACATTTTTCTTAACCAGTTTACATATGTGTGTTCTTGGGGTAGTTGGTTTGACTATGAATGTACATGCTTATCACTGTATTTACTATGAAATTTGTGCAATAAAAAATCTTCAACTGAGACTTTCTACAGCAAAAATATTCTTTGAAGCAAGGGTATTTGTGTTTGGACAATCCGTGGCTCAAGATCTACCTCCAGGAAAAAAATAAATAGTAAAATACAAGAATAGAATACTAAAATAGTGTTAAAATAAATAAATAAATAAAAAAGTGCAATCACCCAAACCAATGTCTCACAAATAAATTCCAGTCAATCAAATGGATAGGTAGGCCATCTGTAATTATTGAACTAATTATCATTAGATGTTTGATATATTTTTCTCGTATTAATTATTTACCTCATCAAGTACGTCATATTCATCCATAGCTAAAAATCCACGAAATTCTAATACATTATTTTATTTATAATCTATCAAAATCCAAATCAAACACGTCGTTCTAATCTCTCTAGTCTTTTCTTTTTTGCTCCAGTCTCATTTATCTGCTTCAAGAGAAAGAATATGTTTTTATATCAGATATAAGCGAGCATGATTTTTTTGTTTACACAGTAGACTGATTAAGTGGTTTTACCTTGAACACCCTGAAGTTTTTTCAGAGAATAAAGGTTCCCTAAGATTTCAAGAATAACAAAAACCCCCCTGTTATTAGTTAGCTGTTATTGAACCATTAGAATTTATAATATAATAGGTTAATGAATATTTACTTAATTGCTCCTCCGCCGTTTATTTTAACATCGAACGATTAGAGGATTAATTCTAAGGGGAATTATTGTTATTAACCCACTGCTAATACTTTGAATTCAACATATATATGTCTGTAATTTCTTCGAAATGCTTCCTAGAAAAAAGTTTTGAATTTTCAACTTGAAAGAAGTTTAATTAATTAATTTCTTATATAGTGGAGATAACAGATTATCAAGTTATCTAAAAGTGATCCAGCCAAAGATGAAACAATACTTCCTTCATTGGCTAAGCTTACATTAAGTGGCAAACCCAGAATTTTTGCTCGGGGGGCCTCTGCGGCTCTGCCATTATTTATCAAACAACTAGTGAAAACTTTTAAAAAATCATCCAATCTTAAGCAATGGGAATAATACAATATCAAGAACCTGAAAGAATATAATGCAATAACACAGTACTTTCTTAATTGAATAAATCTATGAGAAGTAAAACATAGATAACATAGATGTTAAAGTATGAATCACAAAACGCTAACGTTTCTACATTTTGAACTTATCAATTCACTGCCGTTTAATACACATGTGAGACAATCCAAGCCATTGAAGCAAATGACATCCAACGGCCAGAATTCATCTAGCAAGTGAACTATATATAAGCAAGCATCTTCTATAGAAAAACAACTCTCTCATCTTCATGCGATTAAAAGGTTCTTTGTGCTTTGTAAAGTTTTCTTCAGTCTTGTCTCAAATTTGTATAATTTGGGTTACAATCTGTGTAATTGTAAGGTGAGGGTAGTGTTTCCTTCAGGATTAGAGAGGTTGGTTCAGGTTTCCCTAGAGATTAAAGGTTTGACTGATTTTTCAAGATTGAGAGCTGTGTGTGTCTTTAAGAATCGTTGTAATATGTAAGAACTCTTGATTCCTAGTGTAGTGAACCCCCAAAATTCCTAGAGCTCAACATGGATGTAGTCTTTCCAGTTTTTGGAGAGACGAACCACGGTAAATCTGGTTGTTCTTGTGCTTCTTGATCTTGTGTGTGTGTTGATCTGTTAGTTTGTGTGTGATTAAGGGTTAATTGATCACGAATTGGTATAACAATAGATAATAACTCAAATTTCTTTAATAATTTTGAGTAATTAAACAGTAACGTTTGAAATGTAAAAAAGCTGTGGATGCAAGGTGAAGAATAACGTCAGTAAAATATAGTTAAGATTTAATTTGAGAAAGCATGAACATTTTTAGACATAAAACACAAAACAAACTCACAAGATTTATGCCTTTTTCCATCAAATTAAAATGAAAAAACCTCCAAAAAAAAAAAAAAAGCATGATTCAACATTAAAATAAACTAAATTGAAATGAGTAATACACATACTTAAAACTGATAAAACAGAAAACGAAGCTAATTGTGACACCTTGAGTAGTAAAAGCTTTAACAATATCAGTCTTCAAAAGTTTTTAAGAGTGAATAGCATGAGAAAGAGAATGAGAGAATGAGAGAGTAAAGAATTTTGGGGATAAAATCATAAAAAGTAGATGAAGCCGTGGAGAGTGTTTTAAATTTTTAATATGATATGGGCTTGAAATATATATTAATAACAAGTTTTTTGTGGGTCTAGATATATGTATAATAGTTCTTATTTTTAAAAAATCTGAGGGTAAGCCTAGGTATATATATTAATAACAATTTTTTGTGGGTTTATATATTAACAAATTTTTTTTTTATTTTTTTTTAAATCTGAGGCCTATCCTCAAAGGGGAAATGAGTGTGAAAGTGTTAATATAGAACTGAGAATTTGTTACTGAAACAGAGAAAAACATAGCTAAAGGTTTTTGTGACTTTGCCATTCCAAGAAATTACAGGAGACAATCATGTGTTGTTGACAAGGTTTGGGAAAATTAACAAAGGAAAAAATGTTTCTTCATATTTTATATAAAAAAATATTAAGACGAAGGTTAAGATTGATTTTCAATGTGAAAGCTCCAGGGCTTCATGCAAGAAATAGTATTCCCCTAACCATTATGAGAGTGGCACACCTTAACAATGTTAATATTTATAAAACCTTAAATTTATGTTGAAAGTTTGACCCACACATCCAATCTGCATATAAAGATGAAGTTTTCAAGGACTTCAAAAAAATCAAGTTGTTCAGAAAATAATAAGGGAGGGTGTTGAAAGCACACATATATCTTATAATTAGTTGATTGTATATACATCCATTGTATGAATGACTCTTTTCGGATGATAAGTTTGACAATCAGAAATTATAGATGAGAATAGTAATTTAGATAAGCAAAAGCTGTTTGACAATCTCTTCAGGATACTATATACCAGAGGGATAATCCTTGCCTCCATGATAGTTTTCATTTCAATAGTTATTGTGTTGGCTCTCCTAAGGCTGCTTCTTATTATTCTTGCTATTGGATAAAATTATCAAACTCATTTTTCTCACATTTCCAACATACTATAAGGATTGGTTATGGTCCAAAACGAGTCCAAAAGCTACCATTCACTTTTAAGTCCTGCAGTTATTTTTTCATTGCAGAAGCAGATAAAGTGGGTTACCTGCCTTGTACTATCAGAAGAGTCTTGATATTGAAGAGAAGTTGCAAAAGATTTTCCGAGATGAATTCATTTCAGGCCAACAAAAATGGGACTACTAATGCAGAATTTATAAGCAAAATGTAAGTCTGTACATTATCTTCACTCATCACATTTACTTTTGACTCATCCCTCAAAAACTCAACATGTATATACACACATACACAATAAGACAAAAAGAAGGACCTTTATAACCTAGTTAGCAGCTATATGAATCCAATAAATCAAAATAAGTTAGTGAAAAGAGATCAATCATCTCTGCCTCTTCAAGTACTTGGACTTTGCCACCAATTACTCATTTGCTTATTGGGAAAGATGACAACAAAGACCAGTAGACGGCATCCAAACAGCTTCATTTAACCTCACGGTGGAGGTTCTCGTAGTTGTTCCAATATTCAAACTTGTTTTAGTTTGGCAATAGACGTATCCTTGGCTTCCTCCAGGCGGACTCAGCGTGAGTTGTGCCACGTCTATGATATCCTTCTGTTCTGCAACCTTTTTCGTGCTAGGAGTTGTCTTCTTGAAGGATCTGTTGGCAGAAGAAGCAATATCTTCAGCAGCAGGGCCTTCACTGATTGTGCCCTCTGTATTCTTATGTTTTGTGCGCGCAGGATGACCTGGTGCACATGAATTTAAACTTTACCATGAACTGCTTGTAGTATCCTTCCCCATGGTAATCAATCCCAGCATTAAGAAAGGAGGAGAGCCGTTTCTGGGGACCAAAACACTGCCGTGCGCAAGAGAAGGGCTCCTTGATTCATGTCGTTGATCATTACTATCTCGGTCTCTTGCATTTTCCCCTAAAATACCACAGACCTCCTATGAACAAGCGAAAAATCAAAGTGCATATATATATATATAAACCAAGGGTTAAAATTATATCGTAAAAGGAAATGCAAATATTAACCCTTTTGATTATTCTGGTCCTTTCTGGAGCATGTCTAAGCTTCCCTCCAATCACTCTCCAAATACCAACCACAATTCATATCACAAATAGCCATCTTTCTCATATAAAAAATAAAGCCACTCAAAACATACCTTACAGAAACATAACTCTCTGAAACCCAAAGCAACTCCCACCCCAGCTGTCTTAATTCCCAGCATTTTTAAAACACAAAACAACCATTTCACAACAGTATTCCGGCCGAGGAACATGCATATGTACCTAACCAGCAACTTATCTATTGAAAACACATCTCAGTCTTTTCTTTAACATGCTGTCCAGTCAAGTATGCGGTAAAATACCCAGCAATAATTTTATGAAAAACACAAGTCAAGCATCATCCTACCCAACCGGGTGCGTATTGTTACAATTAACTAGCAAATGCATTCCACTTAAAAACTCAATCAAACACTTCAAGGATTGATCCAAAAACATGTAAAAGAAAAAAATTTAAGCAATCTTCAGATCTAGCTCAAATATCATTAAAACATTAAATTGGGAAACCACAGTAATCTGAATTTTTTAAGAGAAGTATTCGTTTAATCCACTCACAAAAATTTCAGCTCAACCCAAAATGCCCAGTTGCCTCAAGCATCATCCCTCGCCTCTCCACCTAATAACCCAAATTGGCAAAATTGAAATAGAATTACGCAAATTGAAGAAAATGGTGAAATGACTCACTCTAAAAACTACATGCATGATACAATTTCTGCAAAGATTCGTGTAATCTCCCTTCATCTGTACTTGGCCGACACTTACCTCATTTTCTCTCCCTCATTTCCTTGCTTCTTTCTCTCTTCTTTTCCTTCTTTCGACTTTCTTCTTCTTCTTTCGTTCTGGGCAAAACTGCCCCTTTTATATATCAGCAATGCTACAGACACCGGTGTTTTTACACCGAAATTTTGTACCGGCTGACGTGTGTGCTGACTCACCCATCCAAATCATCCCACGTGTTTTGACGTTATTGAATTTGATCTAATGAACGGCCGTCCATAACATATGGACGGCCGTTCACTAATATGGACCCCCGTCCATATTATATGGACCCCCGTCCATATTATATGGACGGGGTCCATTTAATATGGACGGGCGTCCTTATTTAGAGGACGCCCGTCCATTGCTAAATAAAAATTAAAAATATTAAAAAAAATTAGGGACGGCCGTTCACAGGTCATGAACGGC